TAAGATATTTTAATGGAAATTGGTTTGTGTGCGTGTGTAAAAAAAAAAACCCACAAACTCTGTAGCTGCTTTAAGGCTAATGCTCCGCCTTTAAAGTGACACTGGCATTGCGTGCTGTAAAGTTTGGCAATGCCATCTTGGGGGTCTCTGGAAGCTGTTTAAAAAGGGGGGCTGGGCAATGCTCTGAGTCCAGCTTGCTCAACACCCCTGCTTTACAAAACACACGTGAGCCAAGAGTTGCTAAACTTCACTACAGCAATAAATCTATGGGTTTTATCCTGTTTTATGTACCATAAGGAAGTACTTCCCAGGTTTGATCTGAATCTTCTGCCATGCCAAATTAAAGATCCCCAAGATTATTTTGTTAGAAGGGAAGGAAAGTGCAAGTCAGGAGATCTTTAAAAAATGGCCATGAACAAGCTAAACGTTGGACTTTTTGAAGGAAGACCTAACCACATATCTGTTGCTGGAAATAATGCCCAAACACCCTCACACGTTGAAGGAAATAAGATCAACATTGCCTCACTGGGCTGAATCTGAAGGTGAGAAATGAGACTTTAGCCTGGCACTCTGACAAATCAGCCATCAACGGGCACATAAGACATTAATAGCATCTATGATTAGATTAATTAGTAATTAATACATTAAATAAGGAGATTACAAATGATGAAATAAACTGTATATATATATAACAAAGTTAAGTTGGATGTGTTGTGTTGTATTATTATAATTAAAATTAAAAATAACTTTAAAAAATAACAACAATGGCCCAATCAAGAAACTGCCAAAGAAGCCAACGGCAAACAAAGAATCAAAGCATCTCTACGATCATTGCCACCAATACTGACAGGTCAAGCCATTAGGCTATAAATTGACAGCAAACATCACTCCTTACTAGCTCTGATGATGTTACCTAGTTTGGTAAAGAAACATCTGCAAGAAAACAAGCAAGCCCAGAGAGCACCAAGGACCCCTCAAACCAAGACTTGTATTTGCACAAACACAACTTAGTAGGTCCAAAGGTGTGTATTCATCAGCCTTTGTTAGTTTCTTTGGGGGCCAAGACACCAGACTGTGGGTTTTGAGTTCTGCTAAGAATGGTCAAGAGAAGACTAGCAAGGGCAGAGTCCACCAGAATTTTCTTTCTGTTGAAAAACCCATGCCAAAAAAAGAGGAATTAAGAGTTGCATGGAGAAAATATTATTTCAGTGGTCAAGCTACACAGAACAACCTTCCTTTGGGGCGGGGCAACCTAGTGGACATTAACATTTCCTCTGCACAAGAAGTTACATTTTCTGCCAAGGAGCACAAAACAATATGCTGAAGTTCTCAAGGGAAGGCTGAGCAAGAATTTTCAGCAAGGATTAGGTCTGACCAAGAGTAAGGAAGTTGAAACTAGCCTGGTCTGCTTCTGTAGGTAGAGCAATTATCAATCAATTATTTTTGTTTTTAGCACCTAGGCAACGTTTAGCAAACTTCGGACAAGCTTCTTGCCTCTTCTGGTTCTGCAGAATATCATGAACAGCTTGACATTGATATTAATTAGAGAGATCTACATATTTTTTTAAAAGCCTCCTTTCTGGCCCATCTCTAGCACCTTACAATGTTTATCCTGCCCTCCAAAGGATGATCGGCGAGGTCTCTATTGAGTCATAGTTGCTGCACGCAAAAGTATTAACCATGTCCTGCTGTTCACACATTATACTTCTCCCTGGTAACTTTTAACCGAGTTTATTCAATTCGCCTGATTTTCTGGGTTCACACAGAGCCCCTGTTCCCCGAGTTAACCCATTTCCTGAGTTCACACAGTACAATTAACCAAAGGAGCTAGTTTTCTAGAACATTTCTGTACTAATCCACCCTAAACTAGTCCGTCCTGTGCTTTACAAAATGCCTGTTGGCATCTCTAATTCTTAGAAACAGATTCTGGCCTGTGCCCAAACAACGGCAGCCACAATTCCATCATGTTAATACACCCTATTTGTTCGATTTTAGGCTTCGGCATATCCAGACTTGAACATTAAAACTGGCACAGACAACAGGACAATGGGGTGATATAACCAATAAAACACCACGGCTGTCCATGTTTAGAGAAAAAGGATTGCATTATTTGGAAACAATCCTCTTGAAAACTAATTAGAACAGCTGCTGCTATGGCTTTTTCCTAGAAAAAGAAGAAAAACTTGTCCCTTTTGCTTCTGGCAATTGTTCTTTATACAAACACAAGATACTTTTAGGTAGGATGGGCTTGGCTGGTGCAGATCGGAGGACCAGAGCCCCAGTGACCCAAAGGAAGGTGACTGCTCAACTTACCTGTCTTGGGTTTATGAAATGGAGAGAGAAGGGGAGGAGTCCACTTTAGCCATCCTTTAGATCAGGGTCCTTGGCCATTTTTAACACAGGTGGACTTCAATTCCCAGAATCCCTCAGTAAGTCTTATAGTTGCCAAGGTTGGGCAGCCCTGGTTTAGATAAGAATTTGGAGCTGCATCGTGTTTTGATGGAGACAAGAGGCAGAGTGGACAATGGCAGCAAAGTAACAGATTAACAGATTAAGAAAGCTGGAAGGGACCTTGTAAGTCATCTAGTCCAACCCCCTGCCCAAGTAGGAGACCCTGCACCATTTCTGACAGAGGGCAGTCCAGTCTCTTCCTGAAAGCTTCCAGGGATGAAGCTCCCTCAACCTCTGAAGGCAACTTCTATTCCATTGGTTGATTGTTCTCACTGTCAGAAAGTTTCTCCTTATTTCCAGGTTGAATCTCTCCTTGTTCAGTTTCCATCCATTATTCCTTGTCTGGCCTACAGGCGCTTTAGAAAATAGCTTGACCCCCTCCTCTCTGGGGCAGCCCCTCCCTCAAATATTGGAAGACTGCTCTCCTGTCTCTCCTGGTCCTTCTCTTCACTAGACTAGCCAGGCCCAGTTCCTGCAACCGTTAATCGTATGGTTTAGCCTCCAGTGGAGGCTAAATAGTAGAAACTGGGTTTCCTCCAGTTGAGCCAAAATAGTATTTCTTTGTGGTTTAGGGTTGAGCATAACATCGTAGGACTAAGAATTGCTCTCCATCCCAAACAGCTGAATTGCGTCAGATTTAGGGATGGCTTTCATTTATAAAATAGAGTTTATAAAGTGGGTTGGCATTTATATCTGACACGGGCAATATATTTTGTTCTGGGCACTAGGCTGCCTTTTGCCTGTGGCTGGTTTACTGGTGGCAGGAGGAAAATTGAAAGAGACGTCATCTGCATTTAAATGGAAAGAAAATGACCCAATTCCTCTCCATTCATGTATAAAATAAGTAGAATTTGGGATCAACTTTTGAAGGGTTTCAAGTCCACTCTGAAAGCTTAGGGACACCAAATTTCACACTGCCAGTTTACAAGCCATAGACAGGGGGGAAAAATAGGTTAGATTGTACAATTGGTGGCTGCAGAGGCCAAGGACAAACGTTTAAAAATGGAGCAGTCATTCTTGCAAACAAAATGTGAATCATCTTCTTTTAAAGGTGGGGTAAAGAGAGATAAAACAGAAAAAAAATAGAGATAAAAATGGGACTGTCTTTGTAAACAGTTCAAGAAAGACAACAGATTCTTTTTCCTTCCAGAAAATTCCTCTTCATGATAAAAGAACAAATTTAAACCCATTACTGTAACTCAGATTGACAGTCTGGTAACGGTTGCCTGAATAATGCAGCGTATTTCTGCTTGTTCGGTTGTTATGGGTACAGCATGCATGAGAAGTGGCTATAGAAAAGGACTCTAAATATAAATATTCCTTTGCAAGAAAGATCATTATGAATAATAGGGATCAGAAAGTAAGACAGGCAGCAGACAATATGTAACCAGCTGAAGGAAGGAATGCATACCAATAAACTTTCTTGGAGATTGTGGTGCTTTTCTTTTGAAATTTATTTTGAAATGGTATTTTGTCTGCAAGGTACTTCAGTTGCAACTATTATGGACACAGTGAAAAATAAGGACATAAAATCCGTGTGACGTACCGCCCTAACGTGCTTTGTCTCATAGCGAGTCCAACATGATGGTTAAACCATCTCTTCTTCAGCTCCTGCTGGGCCAGATAAGCCAAACTTAGCTAGGAAAAGGATATAAGGGAGAGGGGGAGATGGAAGGAATTTATATAATTCCCAGAAATTGGTATCTGGAGTTCGTTTGGAAAAAACTGGAAAACAATGGGAGGTGAAAGGAATTTACAATGTTTTTGTGATAGCTGGAAGAAGGAAAAAAAGGATAGTAACGGAGAACAAAGAGAAAGGAATTTATAACACCCTAGGACATAAAGAGAAAATCTTGTGAAAGGGCTTAGTTCACCTGATGGCTTTCCATTCTTTGACCTTCAAAGGATTTCAGAGGCGCCACCAGTTTCTCAAATGAAGGTGCAGGGTCTTTAGACAGACACAAAGGGAGCACTTTTCATGGGTGAAGAATCCAGGCCATCACAGAAGCGGCCTACATATCTGAGAATCCGTTCATCAGATGTTCACTTCAGTGAAGAACAGCTGTTTTTGGAGCCTCAGGGGAAGTTTGGGGAGATGAACTTCATGAATGAGGGTGAAAAATGGGTGACAAAACTCTTGCACCAGTCAAGCAATGGGAAAAATACTGCTGTTTTTTTTGTTCCTTTTCCAGAAATGAACACTTGAGATTAACTAACCGCACCGCTGAATCTGACCTATTCCTACATATCTGAGTAAAACACTTTGGGGCTTATGGATATCTGTAGGGATACGCTTTCAATATCTAGCATTCTCTGCAACATCACAGAAACTAAACCACAGTTGCTTTGGCTGCAGAAGTCCACCAACATTGTTGAGAAAATACACAATCTGTGGTGAGGTCCAGAAGCCAGGAAGGTGCTTTCAGAAGTCAACGCATCATAGCACATAGAGGAAAGGCAGCAATAGCAATAAATGGGGTGTATCTGAAACCCCCAAACTGAAAAAGTCATCTGATGCAGCTTTTGAAGGGGTGCACTACTTCAGCTGAGGGACAATGGAGGAGATACAATGCAAATACTGTTTTCTACCAAATTCTGGAGAACTTGGATTTTAATTTTCTTCCTGACATCACTGGTTATCCAGAGAGAATCTTCCATTTTCATTTAAAGAGCAGCGTTTGTTCAACATTTGCCACAAACTACATTCCCTTCTAGCAGGTTGATGATGTTACCTAGTTGGGTCATGAAACGTCGGCAAGAAAACAACCAAGCCTCAGAGAGCACCAATTACACCTCATGCTTAAGCATATCAGATCAAGCCTTCCTAAAAACACACTAATCTTGGTTTGGGATCAACATGGTTAGGGTTTGTTTATGGCTTTGCATATCTGAATAATCTCAGCCCTTTGGTGACGACCTTAAGGCATGGCGCTAATCCAGAAAATGGATGAATTCAGTTCCCAGTTGCATGTCTGTTGCATGACTACAGATGCTGCACGATCACAGGTAGTCCATGCCTCCCCACTGAAGCATCCAATCCCTTTCCCCCCACAAATACGGGCAAGCAGCATTAGCACCTATGCACCCTCGTAGCTTTGTTCTCCTGTCAAGGAATGTATAGGTGCTTTTTCATTGTTTCAATCTCTCTTTGTACGTGTTCTACACATGGTTGCAGTTACATCAACCGCTCCTGCCTGGGCCACCTTTTTTGATGCTCTCCAGCCTATAATCTGAACATCCAGAATTACGTAGCTAATGGAAACGGCATTCGAAACCACCCTTGCTGTGCCTGGCTTGGCCTTGTGCTTGTGAAGTCTTGGGCGTTCCCATCAAACCAAAACAAAAAAAGGAGGGAGCTGTTGGTGTGTTTTGTGTATTCGTTGAGGAGTTGGAGGAACGTGACAGAAGTCAGGCGGAAGTTCTCTCATCCTATCCAATTGTCCCATCTTGGAGCCACCAGCAGGCTGGCTCTCTTGTGTCCAGCATCGGGGAGGTCTTTGCAACTGGTGTCGTGGCCTTATTCACACTTCGGTGCTTTGCGGTAGATCTCTTCGGTGAAAGGCCTAGGAGAGGGGGAGGGGAGATGGGGTGAGGGACCAGAGTTTGGTGGGAAGAGGAACAAGAAAAAGAGGGGTGAATACTCCCAGGTCCCACTCCCCTCGCCATGTCTTCTTCATCCTGCCTAGGTCAAGGTTCTCAACCTCAGCAACTTTGAGCTGTGTGGACTCCCACACCCAGCATTCCCCAGTTGACATCCAGGCAGCTTCAAGTTGCTGAAGTTGAGAAATGCTGCCCTATATTCTGCCTTTTTTTCCACGGGCAAAGAGTTCATCGTACCTGAAAAAGAACAAATTGGTAAGGCAGGGAGATCTCTACCCCTGTCCTCCTTCTCTAATGTCCTGTGAGAAAACTATGCCAGAAAAATTGTAAGCAGACAAAAAAATAGGTTCCATTTGTCAGTGAACTCATCAGTACCAACCCATTGAACCTCTAACCTCAATTTATCATGCTGAGAGGGAGGTGGAGCTGCAGGTGTAAAGTTCTTGTGGATCTTGTTCTCCATTCTCTACCGAAATCCCTTCGAGTGAATGCTTGGAACCTTCTTCCATAAAAACCACAGAAAGTCACCATTTATGCTTGAAATACCTATGGAGATTCTCAGTCATCCAGGTCATGGTTGGCCCAGAGGTGCTTTTTGAAAGACAACTGGCCTTTCTTTTTCCTTGAAGACCTTTCACTTCTTGGATGAGAAGCGAAATGTCTTCAAGGAGAAACAAAGTCTTTTGAAAAAGCATCTCTGGGATTTTTCCTTCAGGCAACGGCTTTCTATCCACAACCATCTCTTTTGTTGGACTAGTGTACCTAGGATGCTAGAAGGACTATCAGCTGGAAACAGAGCGTGGGTGGCTTGTTCTGGCCTAGTGATTTAGAATAGAATAGAGCTGGAAGGGACCTTGGAGGTCTTCTAGTCCAGCCCACTGCCCAATCAGGAGAACCTCTACCATCTCAGACAAGTGACTGTCCAGTCTCTTCTTAAAAACCTCCAGTGATGGAGCATCCATGATTTCTGAAGGCAACTTCTGGTTAACTGTCCTCACTGTTAGCCAGTTTCTCCTTAGTTCTAGGTTGCTTCTCTCTTTGATTAGTTAGACTGATGTTCCGCTATTGAGCAATGTCACTAAGATCTCCCTGGCCTTTGATCAGTGAGAAGTTATTGATCAGTTGAGCTTGATCAAAAGGCAGAACCCCTAGTGTAACTAAACCCAAGTTCAGGGTTGAACACGCTCAGCATCCTAGAACATAAAACAGTAAACAATACAATGGACACAGCTTGTCCCACTCTTCAGGCTGATGGCATTGAGCCGGCATGCAAGGAAAGACACAGAGGGTAGCTACCTCAAGGCCCTTCATGTGATCAGAAGAATTCAAGGTAAACCTCCCCTTCCTTTTATGAATCACTTCTGAATGAATGACCTGGAAATATCCATAACTGCTAGCATACGATTAACGCAGCTGGAAAGGCTTATTCTAGGTACGTGTGGGTAAATTCATCGACACGTCAATGAAACTTGCAAAACACAAGGTTTCTTGGAACAGTTGGACCACACATTGTTATATATGTTATAAATATTCTCTCTGGTGGGTTGTTCCCATCAGGAGTTTCAATTGACCAAATGAAACATCAGCTCCAGGTTGGCCCAACCCAGCTCCATCTGTCAGTCAAACTCTGACAAACAACCTCAGGTGTTGACATTGAAATGGCCTTGATTCTCCAAAGTTCTAGAATTCCTCAGTCTCATTGACCCAAAACTTGTTTATCATTTCACAGGAGAAAAATCCAAACATGGGTCTGAACCTATTGAGATGGAAGGTCTGTTACGGCAGATTAAGAATGACTTTCTTCTCACATAGGTTGAATCAGAATCAGAATAGAGCTGGAAGGGACCTTGGAGGTCTTCTAGTCCAGCCTGCTCAATCAGGAGATCCTATACCATTTCAGACAAGTGACTGTCTCTTCTTAAAAGGCTCCAGTGACGAAGCACCTTCAACTTCTAGAGTCAAGCTGTTCCACTGGTTCATTGTCCTCCTCTCCTCAATTCCAGGTTGCTTCTCTCCTTGGTTACTTTCCATCCCTTGTTTCTTATCCTGCCTTCTGGTGCTTTGGAGAATAAATTGACCCCTTCCTCTTCTTTGGGGCAGCCCCCCAAATACTGGAATGGTGCTATCACACCCCCCCTTGGTTCTTCTTTTCTCTAGACTAGCCAAACCCAAATCCTCCAACCGTTCATTGTAGGTTTTGGCCTCCAGGCCTACAATCCTCTCGGTGGCTCTTCTTTGCAACTTTTTCCAAAGTCTCAACCTCTTTTTTTTTGTAACGTGGTGACCAAAACCGGATGCAGTATTCCAGGCGTGGCCCCCACATTACAAAAGAGGATTCTGAGAGCAGGAGATGGCCACCGCTTTTCTAAGTAAGATGTTCCCCACTACAACTTGTATCAACCCCAACCTGCCTGTCCAAGGATGAAGGTTATGGAAATATATGCCAGTGAAAACATCCGGAGAAGAATGGTAGATTTGATGACCAGGGTAGATAATACCAAACCCCCGCTCTGAATCATCCTTATATTACATCTGCTGGGAAAACACAGCAAGTAGGTTAACTGAAGGCAGGGAGGGAGGAGGGGGGAAACACACCACCCCCTTTCTCATGATGAAATAATCACGCCTCATTATTTTTTTCCATCCTGCATGGAGGCAACTCACCCTTCGTACAGCAGAGCAACTGTGTAGCACAGAGCCACCACCACGGTTAGGACGAGGCCCACTGGGCTGGCGTTCCTGATTGGAAAAGGAGAAGAGAAGAAGAGAACAAACGTTGGGAAGAGAAGAGAAGAGAAGGCTGAGTCAGCAAGAGAGACACGGAGGTCCCCTTCCTCCCCAATACCTGCGCTGGGAACCTGCCTGTCCAAAAGCAAATCAGGTCACCCCGGTCAAAAAGTTGCTGGCTTCTTTGCACAAAAAGAACAACATTGTAAATAATAACAATAACAATAACAACAATAACAACAACAACAACAATAACAACAACAACAATAATAATAATAATAATAATCCTGACCTAACTGAGTCATAACTCCATCAAGTCTTGGAGGGTGTCGGCAGCTTTGCCTATGTTAAATAATGTGATTTGGCTCCGTGAAGATGGAGCTACGAGAACAAAGCGGGGAAATTATGACGGCTCTGAAGAAGTCGGTCATACAAGATGGGGAGGGGGCGGAGAGTGGCTACAGCGGAGCAGAAATCTCCCCAAATCTAGGGCAAAAATGTAGGTCGAGCTCAGAAAAGGCATGAGAAATGATCAAAAGCTCAACCGGCTGAGAGGGGTCTCCAAAGGAAGAGACCACGGCCCAAGTAGAACGAAGGCGGGGCCAACAGATGTTTTTTCCCCCTATAACAATTAGTCCTCTTGGCCACTTTCTTCCAAGATTGGTTTATCATCCAACTTCTGAAGCTTTATGGACCTCTACCTCTCCGTGATGGAAAAGGATGGAAAGACGATAACCGGTGGGTGGGATGATGGGTTGACTATTTAGGAAAGACCAATAGGAGAGAGTATTTGTAGCTCAGGGTTGAACTGTGGCGTTCTCTGGGCTTGGATGCTTTCTGGCAGATGTTTCATGACCCAACTAGGTAGCATCATCAGGGCTAAAAGGGAGTGGGATCTGCAGAGAGGAGGAGGAATACTGTGGGGTCCTTGGTGCTCCCTCAGCCTGATTGCTTTCTTGCAGGCGTGAAACGTTTTCTTGCAGATGGGAAACATCTGCTAGAGAACAACCAAGCTCCAAGAGCACCAAGGACCCCATATTTAGGAGGCAATTGGATGGTCTTCCAGATGTTGCTTGACTGAACCTCTGGCAGTGCTGAGACAATCCAGACAATGATGAAGGACCTCTAGAGGGTCTTCACGTCCTCTGATTCAACTTTAAACCCGTAAACTGCTCAGGTCTGGCTTTCAAATTAGACAATCCTTGCCACACTATGAGCTGGAGGCGCCCGGCCTCCTTCCCTCCCTCTCAGATCTCCTTTCCAAGCTCCGACCGGTCCCAGCTCACTTGGCAATTTAGAACAAGAGCAGACTCTTCCATTTGGCCTTCTATAGCGCCCAGCAGTGACCTTTTTCTTTCAATCTGGCGTTTAATGAGTAGTGTTGATTTAATTATTTATGCTTCAGAGACTGCATTGCTGACTTCCACATTGCCTTGGTGTTTTTCAGAAAGTTGGCCCCGAAATATCTTAAGTTAGGCTACTGTTGTCTGATGGAATTCTCAAGTGAAAGCTTTTGAAGAATGGCCAATGGATCAAAAGGAATCCCAAAAGTGCTTTTTCCAAGAGGCAACTGGTTTTTCTTGAAGACATTTTGCTTCTCATCCAAGAACCTTCTTCAGCTCTGACTGGATGGTGGATGGATGGATCCAGTCAGAGCTGAAGAAGCTTCTTGGATGAGAAGCAAAATGTCTTCAAAGAAAAACCAGAAAGTCCGGCTGCCTCTTGAAAAAAGCACTTTGGGGACAACCATGACCTGGAGGGCTGAGAATCTCCATAGGATCGAAAGTAAATAGATTCAATCCATCTAATCTCCAAAGAGGCACTCAACAAAGGCTGTCTTTAATTCTCAAAATTGCTACTTAGATAGGATTTGTGAAACCTTGTGGGAAAGTGCTGTAAGTTTGCGATGAGTTCTTATCCAATTTGACACCCTAAAGCAGGCAGGCTAACCGGGCAGTTTCCCAAGACAATCTTTTGACCATTTTAGCAACCAGCTTTGATCTCACCTCCCCGTAATTGGCCCCTTTCTTCAGCCAAGACTAACTCATGACATTGTTTCTGCCTCAATCCTAGATATGTGTAGGGGGGAGACCTTCATCCGTTTGGCCCCCTCTAACCCGAGTTGACTGCTCCAGAAGAAATGGGTCATTGGCCAAAGGAGAAATGAATGATCATGACTAAGCAGGAGGTAAGAAGGGCTCGCTGAGTGGCAGAACTTAGTGGGTTGCTGTGTCCAGTTTCACAGATGCCACACTGGGAAGTGCTGAGAGAGAGGACATTTAAACACCAGGGAGTGGAGATCAGAGGGCCTAACTCTATGGAGCAAGAAACAGAATCGGTCAACAACCCATCTAAATGAAGTCTGCTTCGAAATACAATGCTGAGGATGAAAGATTCATTTCCTGATTCCTCTGTCAAATTCACCCACGGGGATCCTTCCCTCCCAACAAGCCAAACATCAAGGTGACTTGAGATTTTCAAAAATTATTGAGCCACAAAAGGGGCAGGAGCCTGAAGGGTGGCCTCCTTCCCCTCCCCAAGTTATGAAAGCCAAAGAATCCAAAAGAAAAGGGGGTCCCCCTATAGCTATGGAGGACCCTGTAAAGGAGAAGGTGCCCCAGCTGTGAGACGTCCATAACCACTGGAGACGAACAGCAGGACCATAAATCTGAGTGCTGTGAAAACCAAGAACTGGTGGAAATCAGGGGTCCTCCTTAAGACCGCTGGGCTGTCCAGATGGGGCAGAGAAAGCGTGCAAAAATATGGACTCCCTAAAGACCTCCTTCTCTTGAAGCACCCAGCAATCTTTTGAATTCTTTTATTACAGCTTCTTAATGTTCTCCAATAAATACGGCAGATCAGAATTTCTTCTAGCTTTGAGTTTGAGTCCAGCCTGCAGGTTTAAGCTCCAGCCAAGCTCTGAAAGAGGGTTGAAGCTAAACCGTTGTGGATGCGCCATCACTGGAGATTGTTTTAAGAAGAGTCCATTATTGTCCGTTGTCTGAAATGGTATAGAGTCTCCTGCTTGAGCAAGAGGTTGGACTAGAAGACCTCCAAGGTGCCTTCCAACTCTCTCTTATTCTGTTAAACGTAGAGCCTTAGCCAGTTTTTGTTTCCCCAACACCGACTGTCTCTTGCACGCACCAAAAGAGCTTCTAGCCAGCCTGCTGGAACCTCAACCTGACCTCATCTGTGCCTGGAGATGAAGTCACCGAGATCTTCTGGTGGAGTTACTGAGTCTGACTCCAGGGAGATGATATAAGGAGGACCTCAAGAGCCCCCCTCCTCTCACTCTAAACAGATTGCTTTTGGAGTGCAGCCTAGACCGATTTGGGGGACCTTTCGGGGCTGCATCTTCAGGGGGGAAAGAGGGAAGGAAAGCAAGTGGAAGAGAGATTAAAATAGCCTCAGTTAAACTTCTGGAACACGGCTCTGTAATAGATTTGAGTCATTAGTCCTTAATCACGCTTCTGCCCATATGCGAGCTCATGTTCAGACCCCTTAATAAACATGGATTTTCTTCTTCTTCTTCTTCTTCTTCTTCTTCTTCTTCAAGGGGAAAGAATTAGCTGTCAACAGGAAGGCTGCGTAAAAGAGGACACTCAAAACTTTCCTTTGGGGCTAAGTGGAGAAAGAAGCACTTAAATCTTTTCCATTTTTCTTGCTCCATTTTTCTTGCTCCATTTTTCTCCTCCTCCTCCTCCTCCTCCTCCTCCTCCTCCTCCTCCTCCTCCTGCAGTCAACTTTCAGGCAACCAGCAAATAAGCAAAATGCAGAAGAGGCTCAACCATGACTGATGAGGTGTCCAGCACCTGGAGAAGGGACCTCTTCCAAAAAACATTGCTTGAAGGCTGGGGGCCTCCACAATTTTTGGAGCTCCTTGGCTCAGCCTGCCCCATCCTGAAGTCCTTCAGATATAGGATCCAGATTTCTGCCCTTTCTACGGGGAGCATGTGGGGAGCTCTAATTGCACCCCAACCCATTTGGGGGTCCCCAGTCTGGAGGAGCAAACCTGCCATCAATCTTATGAGCATGTCCAGGTCTTCTTCAAAGAGATGGAATTAGAGAAATCCAGTTCCTCTTAGATTTTTTTCCCAATCTAAAGCTCATTCCATGCGACATCTGCATATAATATTTCCCTATTTTCATCTGTTCCAATCCAGGCAAATCTAAGCTTTTGGGAACCCATTTTTTTCCCTCAATTCATTTCTTTTTGGACTTTTCTTACCTGACTTGTTTTGTGTGCAAATTTTTCCCCTCCTCTTGGAAAACTTCATTGCAGAACTTTTAACTTGGCTTTTAAAAAATTACCATTCGGATTGCAGATTTATTTGGCAAATAGAAATCAGAATGCCGGCCAAATAAGTCTTTGTCTCTTACCCTCAGTTTCCAAGATCTACAGTTAAAATGCTGTTTATTTAGAAACGTTTGACTGGGGGTGGGGGGGAGGAATCTTAAATTATTTTTTTGACCAGACTTTCCAAAAACAGGCAGGTGGCTTTAAAAAACGGCTGCTCTTTTCCAAGTCTTAATTTTGTACTGGTATCATGCATTGTTTTGTGTATCAGCCCCTACAGTAGCACATAACCAGTAGCCATTAAAAAAATCCCAAAGTGTTGCATTTCTTAAATGCATTTATTTTTTTCGCCCTGCTAGACCTGTTTCAAAGAGTTGGTGCAAATAAATCCCATTGTCAGGTCTAGTTCAGTCCTAAGTTTGCAACATATATATGAATATATGAACCTATATGAAGAGGAGAATGCTTATTGCTGGACTTTTTAAATATTAGCCCGGGTGTGTTTAGCTTAAGGCCAGGAAATTTGATCTGTTCCCTCCGTCCCTTTCATGAGGTCATAGCAAAAAATGTTCTTGTGAAGTGGAAGGAAATAGCCTTGGTGTTTGGATGTCATGGAGACAGGGATGAGGTAGCCACCGAGAGGAGAGTGTGGCGGCTCGACAGGCCTCTTTTATAACACAATCACAGCATTTCACTCTGAATCACCAGAGGTGAGGGCTAGTGATGGAGAGAGCCATCCGTTGAGCTGGTTTAAAACTTTTAATGCTTCAACTTTGTTTTTTGCAAACCCATGGACACATCAGACTTAGGCACGCTCTGAAAACCCTGCAAGTTCTCCAAATATGAGGGTCTACTTTGTCATTGGAAAAGGAAGCAGCTCACCATAAGCCTGATCCAAAGGCCCCAGCATTGGGGAAAGAGTGCCCAGAAATGCCACAGGCTGTGGGAAAATGTTTGCAAAGACTGACGGAGCCTTTGGAGGGGTAGCTTAAAGGGAGGAAGGCTAATCCTGGGAAGAATGAGAGACCTTGGGTCAGCTCATGTGTCCCTCGTGACACCAGGATGGGATTTTCTGCAGGAAGAGGGAAAATATGGTTCCAGAAATATAGTTTGCCCTTTCTAGGCCTGGATTCAAACCAAGATATGCTCTTGCAGAGTGGGTTGGAAGCTGGCAACTTCAGAAGCCAGAGAGATTTTGCCTGACGGTGCTGGAATAATAGGAGTTAACATCTCTTCTGGGAGCCCTTCCAGTCTGTGTTGGTGTGTATTGTGCGTCTGTGTGAAAGAGAGAGAGTCAGAGGGAGAACAATTGGCCATATTCACATCTGCAGGAGGGTTGGGGGAATTGAGGGGAAACTGAATGCCTCTAGCAAACCGTTCCATCTCCCCAAACACCTCCCCAAACTTGGGGAGTGGGTGGCCTACCCACCTGCCCACCCCTCCAGCCAGACCAAGCCTGATGGGCACCTCGAGGTGGCAGAATTTGCAGGCTCCTTTCCTAGCAGCCTCATGCAGGCCCACCGCTGCCTTAATTTTTAATGGGAAGAGCCATCTTGGAACAGGGACCGCTGTCCTTCAAACGGCCACCCAGGACAGGGAGAAGACCGCCGCTGCCACAAAGCCAGGGGTCAGACCAGGAAAAAGAAAAAGAGGAGCCTTGAGAACTGGACGCCACAAGGATGCTATGCGCCAGCTCCTTAGGAGAGCTGCGAGCTTGCAGGCTGAGTGGTGTTCCTCCGAGACCGTCTCTTGGCCACTGCTCAAGTCCTGAAGTGGCCGTTAAGAGCGCCTTCTGCATCATTGCCTCAATAGCTCTCCTTGAGGAGCTGAGAGATCTCTGCGTCTTCCTCTGTGATGCTTTCTTGGCTGGAGGCTGCTTTTCACCCCCACTTTACGGAGAGCCATTCAGCTCCGTTGCCAGCTCATTGCAGCACTCACTTAGTGGCCAATTAAAGCGGCAGAGATGTGTCTGAGCAAAAGTGAGTGCCTCGTTCAGGCTGGAGCTCTGAAGCCTCATCGCTATCCTGATTTACTCTCTCTCCTCCGAGGAACACCTGGCCTCACCCCAGCCCGGCTTTGACAAGGGGTGTGTGAACCCCCTGAAGTCAGGCGACTATCTAGTGATCTCCTTCCCTACCCGATCTAAGGCCCCTTCCTAGCATTGCACAGATTCCACAGGTAGCCGAGTTATTCCTTCAAAGGACGGTGGGCCCATTTCTGCTCTGCCTACCCAGCTGGCAGCTTCCACCCAGGGGACAACGCTTGGGTATTAGGGAAGACGAGAGAGGGTGCCAGAGGGATAGAATCAAGACCATTTGAGGTGTTAGTACCGCTTGATAAGTACCGCTCCTTGGGGAGGCCACCCTTGGAACACGGCATCCAGTTTTGGTCCCCACAAGGCTGAGACTCTGGAAAGAGTGCAGAGAAGAGCAACGAAGATGATTAGGGGACTGGAGACTAAAACATATAAAGAACGGTTGCTGGAATTGGGTATGTCTAGTCTAGTGAAGAGAAGGACCAGGGGAGGCATGATAGCAGCCTTCCAATATCTCAGGGGCTGCCCCCAAGAAGAGGGAGTCAAGCTATTCTCCAAAGCACCTGAAGGCAGGACAAGAAGCAAAGGATGGAAACTGATCAAGAAGTTAAGCAACCTAGAACTAAGGAGACACTTCCTGACAGGGAGGACAATCAACCAGTGGAACAACTTGCCACCAGAAGTTGTGGGTGCTGCTACACTGAAGGGTTTTAAGAAGAGGCCAGACAGCCGTTTGTCCAGAATAGTATAGGTTCTCCTACTTGAGCAGAGGCGGCTGGACTAGAAGACCTCCAAGGTCCCTTCCAATTCTGTTCTTCTATTAAGATGAACACCTGGGTTGTGATTTGGGGGTGTTTTATGGGGAAAGCCGTCATCTCCTCAAAGAGCAAAGTCACAATCCTTTTACGTCAAAGCAGGGAGCAAGCAATGACTCTCTTTTCATTTATGGCTGTGGATAGCAAAAACAAAACAAAAATGAAATGAAAAATAACTCTTTGCCTGCTGAAGAAGCAAAGAGAAAGAGAAGACTTACATGAGGGACCATCCGAAATAGATGGAGGTGCTACCCCAGTACATAGGATTCTCTATGACGTTGAAAGGGAAGGAAGTCACCTTCCTCTCCATGAGAATACCAAAATAGTCACCTGGAAAGGAAAGAGGACAAAATGTCAGCCTCAAGATATCTTCCACATCTTATACCTTCTGCATCCTAACTATTGCATCTTCTCTACTGCTATGCTATGCTATCTCTTTCGGCTGTCATTAGCAACGGGGAGAGGGGGGGAACTTGGAGGGGAAGAAAGCTGGAGGTGTTTTGCATTCCTTTGCTGTGGGTAGCAAGGGGAGGGGGTATATGAATTCTTGTCTTTAACTTTCCATTTCTTGGCTAGCTTCTATCCCCTTTTGCGCAGCTGCGGAAGTTTTATCAAAATATGTCAAGGTCAACGGACAGAGGGCTCATCACCACCTGAAGATGCCCACATGATCATATTCAGAACTTTTAATTGGAAGAGTCATTTGGACTTTGCGGGGTGGGAACAATTCCGTTCCTTTGTATATGTGATCTGCGCGCCAATTCCTCAGATTCGGAATTAAATCTGTAGCTTCCACTTTGATTTCCAGTAAAAGGATAACTTTGCTCTAACCCATGGAGTCTGAGTATTTCTTTCTTGGATCTTGAAGGGAGCACACACTGACATTATTCCGAATCTGAGAAATTAATGGTTGAGTCAATCAAGGAACTGCTTTGCTCTTCTTTGCAGCAACCCCTTTGGGTGACATGGATGATCCCAACCAACTCAACAGACCTCAACAACAGATCTCAACCAACTCAAAGATCTGGAGAAGGCTGACCACGGCGGAACTGCAAAAGTCCTTTCCCATCCCGGCTGTTTGGGCCATTTTCAGATTGTTCACAACCAAGACTTCTTCTGTCTATAGGTGAGGAACGATAAAGGAAGCTGCTTAGAAGTAACTTTGCACGTCTCCCTTGTTGTTGTTGTTGTTGTTGTTTTGAAGCCTGGCACAAACTTACAAATCACACAAGCTCAGAATGACTCAGCCGGCTGCAGAAATTGTCAGGCAACACTGAACAATCATACCGGTGGATAAAAACTTTTTTTTTTTTTTTGTCATCTCATTATCCCACTAAGCTGCCTCTGGCAATCAGGGCGGGGAAGAAGGGAGGCAAGAGGGGAGAGAAAAAGAAATGCCAGGTGGGATATTTTTCTTCGCCAGAGCTCCAAAATGGCTTTTTGACATGGTAGGAAGCTGTGGAAATTGCCAATCTGACCCAGGTACCTATTACTAATAAATTATTGCACTCTGCTCACTGGCGCTTGAAACATGTCCTTACCACCAATTAAGGGCCCGGTTTTATACAGAAGTGTCAACTGTAGTGCAAGGAAGGGGACCAGGAGAGAAATAAATGGCTTTGTATTTGATGACTCATGGTAAGAGCCATAATTT